CCCCAAAACCCCAAAACCCCAAAACCCCGGTTAAGGAAAATAATATAGAAATTTAAATAAAAGAATGGGACTTTTCAGGTCTGAAGATCTTTATCTATGAAAGACTACGATGACAAAGGACTGTGCTTATGAGTCCGTGAAGCAACTAGGAAGACTAGGAATGGTCAGCTTTGTAGATCTCAACATTAACGAACAGGTTTATGACCTTCCATATGCGAAAGAAGTTAGTAGATGAAATGAAACTTTGAAGAGCATCGATAGCATCCTTCAAGAATGTGAAAGACTTAAATTACCTCTAAAAACTCCTGCTTCTATCAATGAGTACTATATGGCTCAAAACGGGCTAGGACAAGTCATGCAAGTAGCTGAACACAGAATGTTTGACTGTGTTGAAAAAGAGGTTCAGGAGTATGACGAGTTTTTATCCACCCAAACCAAAAGTCTGAGGAGTATAAAAAGTGATTACCAGCACCTCCAGGACTACAGAGATGCACTTCTAGCTGCAGCTAAGCTCCTTGACAGGCAGCCAGTCAATAAAGGAAAGTGGGCTTACTTGAACAGAGGGAATACTCTAGAAAAAGTATCTGAAAGAGATCATGAAGAAAGCAAGGAATATCCAAGCAAGAAGAAACTTCATGAAGAGAGTAATAACTCCTTCCAGATCAAAATCGGTCATCTCATTGGGACTGTGGGAACCGAAGATTGCTTCAATTTCAAGCGTTTGATCTTCAGAGCAACTAGAGGGAATGCATTGATACAGATGGAAGACATAAAACCAAAGAAATTAAAACCAGACCAAACTCTGAGATCCTCATTTGTGGTGACCTTCCAGGAAGGAACTTCTATAAGAGAGAAACTTGAGAGGATCATTCAGTCATTCGGAGCTAGGTTATATGATTATCCTGAACAAAATTTCTCCAAAGTCATTGAAGATCTTGAGAATAAGATGAAAGACACCAAGAGGTTATTGAAAGACTCAAACCGTGAGTTGAAAAACTATCTGATTCAGTTGAATGATCTTGAGTCAAAGAAAATGCTTGGAGGGAACTCCCCGTTCTATGGAATATCTACTCTTCCAATGTATAAAATGTTTGTCCAAATTGAAGAGCAGATCTATCGCAATATGAACTGCCTCAGATCAGTCGATAACGGAAATGTCCAGTATGGATTTGTCTGGTCAACTGAGAAAGCAGAAGTTATTGAAGATGAATTAAGCAGGAAAGGAGCTTTACTACAGGAGCTGCAATTTGAAAATATCCACAATCATGAGTTTGAGACCCCAACACTATTCAAGACCAATGCCTTCACAGAACAGTTTCATTCGATCGTGGAAACATATGGAATTCCAAAGTATAAAGAAGTGAATCCTTCTCTGTTCACCATAATAAGTTTCCCCTTCTTATTTGGAGTAATGTTTGGTGATATTGGCCATGGAGGCTTACTATTCATCTCAGCAGCTTTCTTATGCATGTTTGGAGATAAGGTTAAAGCTCTGAAACCTATCTTCCAAGCTAGATATCTGCTCTTATTAATGGGCTTCTTCTCCTTCTTTTGTGGATTCATGTATAACGACTTCATGTCAATTCCAATAGAATTGAGTCATTCATGCTTTACTAAAGGAATCAATGGATATAGACACAATCCTAACTGTGTTTATCCTTTCGGGATTGATCCTAAATGGTATGTTGCAACTAACGAGTTAACTTTCATGAACTCTTTCAAAATGAAGCTAGCGGTGATCTTGGGAGTTTCTCAGATGTTATTAGGCATATTTTTAAGATTTTTCAACGCTCATGATTTCTGTGATTACGTTGAATTCATTGCCCAGTTTACAGTACTGTGCTGCTGGTTTGGCTACATGAATGTTCTAATAATTGCAAAATGGCTGACTCATTACCCAGATTCTAGCAGAGCACCAGCCATTATCGCATCGATGATTGACATGTTTTTGAAATTCGGAGCTTGTGAGAAAACTCCAATAATTTCAGACAAGGCAGGGACTGAGCATATCCAGATCTTATTACTGATTATCAGTTTTGCCTGAATTCCATTGATGTTGTTCTTAAGGCCAATCCTAGCTCTCGTGGCTGGTGACCATGCTGGTCATCAGCAGCCCGGAGAGATTGAGTTGGAGCACACGATTGGCAAGCGAGGCAAAGGCTATAACAAGTTTGAAGACGAAGATGAATATGATGGTTTTCAAGAAGAAGAAAGAAAATTTACTGAAGAAAACATGAAAGATGTAATTGAAGAGAACAAAGACCAGAATTTTGAGGACATGAGTAATAAAGGCATCAAAGATGATGAACCCTCTGAAATCCATAATAGAGAGCGTCATCATGAGCAGATGAATAGTTTAAGGAAGGTGTTGAAAATTGAAAATCATGGACACTCAATGGAAGAACTGTTTGTTCACCAACTCATAGAAACTATAGAGTTTGTACTTGGAACAGTTTCTAATACTGCATCATATCTTCGTCTCTGGGCATTGAGTCTTGCTCATAGTCAATTGGCAGATGTATTTTACGAGAAAACCCTTGTAATGGGATTGGAATATAAAAGCCCAGTGATGCTGTTCATTCTTCAACAGCTTTTTTGGGTAGCTACTCTAGGAGTGCTTATGTCCATGGACTCGATGGAATGTTTCTTACATACCCTAAGACTACATTGGGTTGAATTCCAAAACAAGTTTTACAAAGGAACTGGAACAAAGTTTGCCCCTCTCTCTTTCAAGCAGATTGCTATTGGAAATGATAATTAGCCATCATTTGATCAATTTAATGGTATATAAAAGGGGTTTTGGGGTTTTGGGGTTTTGGGGGTTTGGGGTTTTGGGG